ACTAACTCAGCTCAGAGGGAACACTGAGTTTGCAGCCACCTGACTGGGTTAAACCTAAGAATAATGATCTAGTTCAATATTCTGCTTCCAAGAACGAGGCCTCCGGCAGCTCATGAGGCAAACTTAGAAGGGGTGACCCTTCCCTGCATACACACACCCTGCTTGTCTCCAAAAGTCGGTACTCAAAGTTTTACCACCTCTGAATAGGGATGTTCAGGGGTCATTTCGTAGAAAAAGAGGTGCAGGAGCTCATTATAAAGTTGTGGGCGAGCGATTTGGCTGCTGCATCAGTTCGTTTGGCTCTGGAGCCCTCCTTCCCGAGCCAAGACAAAAACGCGTGCGCCGGAGGCTAAAAAAACCTGTGAGCTGGCTCACACTAACTCAGCTTAGAGGGAACACTGAGTTTGCAGCCACCTGGCTGGGTTAAACCTAAGAATAATGATCGAGTTCGAGATTCTGCTTCCAAGAAAGAGGCCTCCGGCAGCTCATGAGGCGAACGTAGAAGGGGTGAGCCTTCCCTGCACTCATACACCCTGCTTGTCTCCAAAAGTTGGTACTCAAAAGTTTTACCACCTCTGAATAGGGATGATCAGGGGTCATTTTGTAGAAAAAGAGGTGCAGGAGCTCATTAGCATGACTTATTTGCATATGCCACACCCCCTGACATCACTGGAAGTGTGTCAGAAGGCAACACCCACCGTTTAGGCTCCACTGGACTGCTTTGGATTGCTAGCTATGGGGGGGGGAATGTGCAGATCTGTCCTCCCAGAGGAGGGAGAGCTTGTGCCTGAATAAAACTTGGTCTTAAAGGTGCCACTGGACTGTTTTGGACCAGGGGGCCGGGGGAGGGGCTCTGCAACGTACCTGGCTGCTTCTTGCTCTGACTGAGGGCTGCTGGGAGCAGGGGGGGGGCTTGTTGCATGTGCCCGCCCCCCTGGGCTCTTTACTGCTGGTGCTCCGCTCCTGTGCGCTCCTGCAGGAAACGACCCCTGGGGATGTTCCATTTTTAGCTGTCACAGTGAATACCAAGAGGCCTAACTGCCCCTCATGTGTCTGAGCAGCATCTTATAGCTTCAGAATGAAAAGAGCTAGGCTGGGGGTCGATCGGGATCAACCCCCTGGTGGAGACGGAGGTACTCAGCCGCCAGGCCCCACTGCCCCGCTGCCAATCAACTGGCCACGGGGGGCAGGGCGGAATGAACCAGGGAAAAAAGTAGAACCCAGTTGACGTTGCAGCGAGGCCACTTTCGACCGGTGTTCCCTCTAAGCTGAGTTAGTGTGAGCTAGAGGGAAGCGAAGAGGGAACGCTGCTGGTGACTGAGCTTCCACACATCATCTTTTCTGCGCACTTTCTCCTGACTTTTCCCTTCCCACGCGTGTTCCACAGTGACTCCACACCGGCTCTCGGTTCATCACAGATGTTGTGGAGACTCACGGCCCGCTCTTTTTGTTCTTGGCTTCTCTGGAGTAGGGGTGTCCCCACCACCATCTTTTGAGGCCTGTGGGAAACTCTGGAATTCTGACACAACCACAAAATGGCTGCTGCAGGAGTTCGAACCGGCTGCAAAATGGCCGCCCAGCTCACCTGCAGTCACGCGGTAAAGATCCTCAGGGAATGGAGGCAGGTGCTGCCGAAGCAACATTTTTAAAAACCTGCACCGCCCGTCAAACAATCTCCAGCGGCCAATCAGAAGCCTTGCTGGGCAAAAGCCCAAGCTGGCGACACCCACTTCCTGAAAACGGGCACCAGGAAAGGTACGGGACCCATGGTGCCCACGGGAACCCTGTTGGGGACCCTGATATAGAACTTCAGGGTTTTTCTGGCGACTCAGAGAGCGGGAATCGAATCTCAAAGAAGGAGGAGGAGGAGATTGGATTTATACCCTGCCCTTCACTTGGAGTCTCAGAGCAGCCTACAAACTCCTCTCCCTTCCCCTCCCCACAAGAGACACTCTGTGAGGTAGGCGGGGCTGAGAGAGCTCTTTCGAGGACTGCTCTTTCGAGAACAGCTCTGAGAGAACTCGTGACTGACCCAAAGTCACACCAGCGGCCGCATGTGGAGGAGTGGGGAATCAAACCCGGTTCTCCCAGATTAGAGTCCGCGCACTTAGCCACTACAGCAAAGGGCAATTCTAATGGCTCAAAAACTAATAAAGTTTTAAACAAGACCCTTGTAAAAGAGGGGGACGGGCAGGAATGAGCAGGGACGGCGTCCGAAAAGCAGGAGCGATTGCGGCGCGGGGGGGCTACGAAATGGCCTCCCTATAAACAGCCCTGCCCCATTCCGCCTCAGAGGAGGCCTATTTTGGGAGCGCGTTTCTCTATCCATAATCCGCAGTCAGGAAAGAGTTAGCAGGTGGGGGGGAGGCGGGGAGGCCGCTCCGGCCTGACAGCCGGAGACAACTGGAAGCTGCCCTTTCAGAGGCAAAGGAGCCCCGGCAGGAACAAGGAAGGCCCGAGCGAGCGATGGCCCAGCAAGAAGACCTGCCCGTGGGGAAGGCCGGGTCCCGTGACCCCCTCACCAAAGAGATCGATTTGGTGGAGAGAGACCCCAAGCAAATCAACCAAGAGGTGGTCAAGGTGAGAACCTCTCCAGGGGACAAGAGTGGTGGTGGGTTGTTGTTGTTTTTTTGCCAGATCCAGGTTGGAAGACTCCTGGAGATTTGGGGATGGAGTCTGGGGAGGACGGGGACCTCGGCAGGGCACCATCCCATAGAGTCGACCCCCACCCCAAGCGCCCGTTTTCTGCAGGGGAACTGGTTTCTGTAGTCTGGAGATGAACTGGAATTCCAGGGGGTCCCCGGTTCCCACCGTGAGGCTGGCATCCCTGAACCCCAGTGGGTACGGTTGCCAGGTCTGGGTTGGAAAATACTTGGAGACTTTGGGGGTGGAGCTGGGAGAGGGCGGGGTTTGGGGAGGGGAGGGGCCTCGGCAGGGTACAAGGCCACGGAGCCCACCCTCCCAAGCAGCCATTTCCTCCAGGGGGACTGATTTCCGGAGTCTGGAGAGGAGCTGGAATTCCGGGGGATCCCCAGGCCCCACCTGGAGGCTGGCATCCCTGGACCTCCGTGGGGCACAAGGCCAAAGAGCCCCCCCTCCAAAGCAGCCATTTCCTCCAGGGG